TAATAGAATTAAAGAGAAAGTATTATCACATGAAACGAAGCAACTTACATTGAAGGAAATGTTTAATAAAGTAAACAAATAAATATTAAGCTTTTTTTTTTGTAAATTTTGATACCCTTTAGATCATAATTGTTCTTTATTTCATAAATTACGGTTTCATATTTTTAATTTGTAATTTTGCATGCCATCTTACCAGATTTAAACTGATGATCTATAATCCGGAAAAATCGATAATCCGGAATCGCCGAAGTCCGACGAGTCCGGATAATGACTTTGACTGTACTAAGAAATAATAGCAGCTTTTCCATGACACTTTAAATGAATTTAGTCTTTAGAATAACAGAAGTCTTTAATTAAATGCCAAAAAGTTAAAGTGAAAAGGAAGCGTGTTGAAAAAAGAAACTAAATATGTAAAGAGAAAAAGAAAATTATTCTTCAAAGATATGTACAATTATTATTATGTAAATTACCCAGTTATTTACAATTTCAGCCTTACTATAATTTCCCATTTCTATTTCCTCATCAGAATGCAAATCACTGTTCACAAGACAGTTTTTGAACTGAGGGTTTTGAAGTGTAAGAAGAGTGCGTTTCGGACCTCCACTTGCTCCCCTGCATTAGTTCTGTCAGCTCTGATAATTTGTAATTATTAGTCTTTCCATTACTGCTGCTGACATTTGAGTTTATTATGACAATAGAGTTACTGAACCAGATTAAATTGAAATTAAATTGTATCGTCTTTGACCTCTAGTCCATATTTTTAGTTTGAATTTGACTCTTGTTTAATTATATGACCACAAACTGTAATCGATTTTGTTAGCATAAGATCAGGCCTATATGTTCCAAGTTCTTTTTGAATAAGAAGCTTATTTAAATTTATTATCTGATTTATAGTCACTTTCAGACATAGTGATAATTTGATCACATCTGTCGGGGAAGGGGGTTTCGGTCTATTTAACTTTTACCAGATTAAGTAAACCTTCATAGGTAGTACATTGTGGAGAGGTTGGCAGTTAGGAGATAAAACACACAGAAGCTAATTAAAACATTGTTTTGCATATTGAAACAAATTTCTAATTGTTAGAAAATATGCTTAAGGAGAAGGAAATTGATATAAATTAGCCAAAATGTCTGGGTAGGCCTTCAAATTAAAAAGAGGCATAATTATTTTGTTGAGTTTATGTTTTGTAACTTTTATGTGTATTATCCTAATATTGTTTAAAAAGTCAATGTCATAAGTTGCATGTATTTTAAACTGTGAAATTTTATGAGATTGTGATATTAATAGGGTTTTTTAACTAATATTATTAAAAACTAAATTTAATTTAATAGTGGCCATGTAAATCCATAATGACTAAGGTTATCTAATACCTAATTTAATTATAACTAAATGCATTCTTAAGACACAATAACACGCCGAATAAATACTAATTCAGAAGTCAAACAACAAAAATCAGCGTTAATTTACAAAACTTACATCGATAGTGTCACTAAACTCTTAAACGAAGGACCATATAATCCGATCCCTAAAGATCCTTCACCTTCGGACTTATCCAAAATAAAAACTGCGATTAAATCTTCGCAAATCATTTCAAGCAACTTAAAACATTCGCTTATCCCATCTGTTGCGAATTGTACCAGATTATATGCTCTTCCCAAAATTCATAAAAGTGGTATTCCTTTCCGCCCTATTGTATCAAATTTAGGTACTGGTACTGCCTCGTATCCATTAGCTAAATATTTAGTTTCTAGATTTTCCACTCTATTAGACAATAACATTTACACCATAAAAATTCAATAGAGTTTGTAAAAAAGGTTAAAAACATTTCTCCTCGTAATTTACTCATGGTTTCTTTTGATGTAAAATCATTATTCACCCAATGTCCCAGTGGAGGGTGCATTAAGATGTCTAGAAACCAGACTTCGCGAATTTCATTTCTCTTGCATCGAAATTGATGAGCTAATTTCTCTCACTCAACTCTGTTTGAAAACAAACACATTTTGTTTTCCAAAATAAATATTACAAGCAAACTGAGGGATTAGCCATGGGAAGCCCCCTCAGTCCCATCCTGGCTGATATCTACATGCATTATTATGAATCAAAATTGTTTGAAACTTTAAACTTCCCGGCATGGTTCCGCTACGTAGACGATACTTTTACCCTGTTTGAAGGTAATAAAGATGATTTAAATAGAGTTCTTTCAACAATGAATTCTATTGATCCTGCTATTCAGTTCACTTTTGAACTTGAGACTTGCAATTCTCTTCCGTTTCTCGACATTCTGGTCACACGTAACACATCCAACTTCAGTACTACAGTTTACCGTAAACCTTCATCGGTTTGCCTTCCACCACACTTTAAATCATGTCATCCGACTAAACAAAAGTTAGCTTCATTTTATTCCTATGTTTTCCGTGCTCTTCAAGTTTGCTCCTCCAAACTACTAGCCCTTGATGAAGAACTAAATTATTTAAAAGCAATAGCTATTGACAGGGGCTTTTCACCCAACATTATTAATCAAGCAGTTAAAAAATTCTCATCTCAACACACTAAAAGCCACACTCTTATTTTAGGAGATTATAAAAATTCTGTTGTCATTCCCTTCTTTCCATCAATTAGCTATAAAGTTGCACATATTTTGCAGAAATTTAACTTTCGGGTTGTTTACTCTCCCATCAATAAAATTCCAACTTCTAACTCAAGGACCCCATTCCGGATATGAATTCCTGGGGTATTTATAGGATTCCTTGCCAGTGCGGTTTAATTTACATTGGCCAAACTAAGAGAGCCTTAAAATTTCGCGTCAAAGAAACATGAGGCATATGTTAGAAAAAAGGAAACACAGAAGTCTTCTGTTGCTCAACATTGTTGGTCCGAAAATCACACTTTCAATTTTTCTGCTGCCAAAATTATTCAAAAAACATCTTCCATTGGAGAACTGGATTTTCTAGAGGCATTTCACATTCATAAAAATCTTTCTGTTTTAGTTAACGATCCTAATTCCAATCCAAATTTGCCTTCGGCTTTTAGAGAAAATTATGTTTTAGTTCTGGTTTCGCCAACAGATGGCGCCACTTGCTTATTCTTGTCAAGGCTTTCTTATCTTATCTAAACATTATTTCCTATCTTGTTCATTTGCGGTTTTGCAGCTGAAGATGATGGTTCGGTAAAACCATCGAAACTAGTCCTGTGAAAATTTTGTAAATTAACGCTGATTTTTGTTGTTTGACTTCTGAATTAAATGCATTCTCTTAAAAAAATTATCTCTCTATATTAAAGCAAGTTATTGCCTTTCGTTAACATGCTGAGCCCGGCGTCGGTCCCTGGGAACCGGCACTGGAATTTTCGTTTGGCTCGCGACGGTCCGCGAGACCGACAGTATTAAAGTTAAAAAATAAGTATAGTCTCAATGAAATGTGATCAAATGTAGTTTTAATGAAATTTATTGAAACATTCTAAACAAAAATACGGTTTTGCTTTACACATATTACAATATGAAACAACTATTTTGGTAACATTTTTGGCTATCTTGCATCCAAATAGTTTTGAATTGTCATCATAACATTTCGAACAATACTTTCCTACTTTATGTGCGTGTCTCCTTTTTTGTATAATTTATGAATAATTTAAGTCGGCAATATTGCACCACTTGATCGCAATATTGCCACCGGCTGATCGCTGCCAGCTGAATAGAAAAGACAGCAAATTCGGCCCCGGACTCAACGTGTTAAACCTTTACCGTGGTCACAAGGTAAAACACAAAAATATAAAAATTCATGTAAAGCTTATTCTTTGCATCTAGTGAGACTTAATGCAAAATAACTTATGACCGCTAATGCTTTCGTGGCTTAATGAAACCTTAAATTATATTAACTGAGTTACAACCACTGGAACTCTACACGAAGCTATGACCACTAACAGCGTCAGGCAGTGGTCAGCTAACTTTCAAAACTTTCTAACTGTGCCTACAGCAGGCCTTTCAGGTTTGTTCTGATTAGCAGGTCTCTCTATAGGCGAGCAAAAGCGGTGACAACAGCCAGTCTTTTGTTATGAATCATGCAGATTATGATTTTAATGCTCATTTTAACCTATGCTGCTTGACATAAAATCTACTTACTATTTACTAAACCTCTAGACTGAGCAAGTATGTGACAAAATGGGGCATTAAAAAAAAGCTAACTGTTAGTAAAACGTAACTAAAATGTCACTTATCTTCTTTCAGATATGTCCAGTTATTATGAGTGTAAAATATTTAATGCTACTTGATAAATTTCATACAATTAATTTTATTCTTAAAATATTAATGTTAATTAAGTTATGTTTAATAATAATGCATTTCATTAATGGTCCTTAAAAGTACTTAATTTCCTTGTGCGGAAATGTGTACAAACCCTGATTTTCGTATTTCTAACAGCTATAAATCAAACTTTTTTTTAGAAAGCTCATTCATGAAAGAACCCTGCTAGGCAAATTGTCGCAGTAAATTTTGCCATATATATAGCAACATTTGGCATATTAAATCTTTTCATATTTGACCTACCTAATGAAATATTAAAGAAATATAGCTGTGGGACATATATTATAAAATTAATATTCTAATTCATTTTCATTGCATTTAATTTTGGTATAAGGGAAGAAAGGAAAATTATACTTTTGAATAGGTGAAATGAAAATAGGAAATCCTTCCCAAGTACTAAATAATTATTTATAAGATATTTTTGAAGAAACTGTTTGTCATCCGAGGAATTTTAAAGACTTATTTAGCACAGGCTTTTAAATTCAAAAGAGAAAATTATGGCTAATTTCAAATACATGGAGAGCAGTAACAAATTGAGAAATTTTTGTTGATTAGTGCATTATATTGAGTTGCAATATTTTGCTTTAATTTCTGTTTAATGTAGTGTAAAAAACTATGTTTTATTTGTACATCTATCAGAACTGAATAGTATTTTTTATTTTGATTAATGTTTTGGTTTATGAATATTTCATGTACTTTCAGATGTGCGACGAAAACGTAAATGCAGATGATAGCTTTGCTTCTGCCAATGACAGTGCTCAAAATGGAGATGATCTGAACATCACAAATCAGACTGATGAAACAGATGACCCAGTGAGTCACATTTTAATATAAGATTCTTAATTACCAAGCATTTATAAATGCAATTCATTTTTTACTTCCTTCTGTGAAGTAAGGCAATTGAAATTGCAAAAAATTTCGGTTATCAGATTTCAACAGAATTATCCATTCTGATTATTTTTTTGTGTGATGCCTGTATGGTGGGACAGAATAAAAGACTATTTATTCCAAAACGGGTTGTAAAATGACTCAAAGTGAATTTTTCTTGACATTTTCTTGGATTTTTCATATACTTAACACGAAAACGATTAGCCATTGAACATTGAAATTTTGTATATGGGACTCTTATAACATCTGTGTGCACCTTCCTTTTTTATTGCAATTAGCGGTACCAAAGTAAATACAGTACAAAATCTTTAATCCGGAATGATCTATAATCCAGACCTCAAAGCTTTAGCGATGGTAGCGTTACGCATGCACGTGATCTTATGTATGCATATGGTTTACACATGCACATAATAGTTTATGCATGTGTGTTAAGTAAATGAATGATATAAGCTAGGCTAAATTTCTAATATCAATTTCAGTATGTTGAGATTGGTGTTCTAATCTTCTAATTTTATCAGAATTTTATTTTGCAGACCTTTTTAAATAGAGCAGTTTAAAAAAGTAAGCTTTAACTTTCGATATGTCAAAAGAGTTTCCGATCGGGAGTGCCAAAAGATCTACAAAGCAAACGCATGTTTGATGCCAGCAAAAAAAAGTTCAATTGCTGAAAAACGGATTAAGACATGAGAAAGTGACAGAGAGGTAGTAAAAAAAGAATATTCGATGAAGTTGTCGGTATCTCGGCAAGCATTACGGACTTGAACAGCGGAACTTTGTAACTGACAGAAATTATGTTGTTTATAGAATTAAGAAAAAGTATAGCCATTGGGGTCTGGTAATGGTAACACCGATTTAGAAAAATAAATCTTAATTTATCAAATATGTACTGGCAATAAAAAAGGAATTTCAGCGAAAGTAAAAAGCTACATGAACTTGTAAAAACAGAGTAAAAAATCTCTTGCAGTTGCGCAGAGAGTTATCTTACGCGCAGCGAAGAGTGAACTCGAAGGCCAAGAAATGTGTGTTTTGGGGGGGGGGGAGGGAACACAAGGTAAAACGAAGCAATAAACACTAATTGAAAGAAATGTTTAAAAAGTAAATAAATAATATTAAGCCTTTTTTTTTTTTTTTTTTGTAAATTTTATACCTTAGACATAATGCTCTTATTTATAAATCGGTTTTATATTTTATTTTATAATTTCTGCATGCCATCTTACCAGATTTAAATTGATAATCTATAATCTGGAATCGCCGAAGTCCCGATGATAAAAAAATGGAAGATATATATGAAGCAACTTGTTATTTTGAGTTTTAAAGCTGTACTCTAGTAAAAAAGATTGAATTCTTGTATTATAACATTCCTTGCTAAAAATAGAACAAAAGTAATTTATTTTTTTATTTGCGCTACTGAATGGTGAAAAATTAGTTAAAAACGTCCCTTCCTATGGCACTATGTATGTATATATATATTTTAAATAAATGAGCTCCGTCGATAACAGTAATCTATCGCGTTATAAAAATTCTTTATTTTTTCATTTGAGAGCTATGCAGATTTTGTAGTTGCATCATCTTTATAGCACCTGATTTCATATGAAGATTAGAATTAGGAGACTAAGATTCGAGCTTGCCGGTATTGCAGTGCATTCAGGTGATGGAGTACCGCTTACGCGTCTGCTGCCCTTCAGATGTCCTGTCACCCCGCACTTTGAAAATCAATGCCTTAGAGAAATATTTTTTCATAACACATATAATTTGAAAACTTGTACTAAGTAAACTAGCTGTTTTGAAAATTTTCCAATTGTTATCATCTCTTGTAGCATGCTTGTTTTTAAACTATTCTACATAAAATATTTATGAAGTTCTTTTATTTTAGTTCTTTGTTAGTTGAAATAGCTAACTTTGAAGATCTTGCATTTAGGAAAAATGTACCATCATGTTGTCCTGTAATAGAAAACATTCATTTATTTATTTTTAATCATTAATTATGAACATATGTATTTATATTTTGTGTTTGTATGTATTGATTGATCAGCTGATGTTTTTGCGATGTTTTTAAATACATATAATTTTTTTTTTTTTTTGCTAAACAGGATTTAGAAATGATTAAAGCTCGCGTCAAAGAAATGGAAGAAGAAGCTGAAAAAATCAAGCAGATGCAGAGTGAAGTTGAAAAACTGAGTCATGGGAGTGCCCCAGGTTAGGTTTAAAAAACATACATAAATAAATAAGTAAATTGTATTATTCATTCTTGTAAGGCACTAGAATATTATGGCATTATTATCTTGGTAATTCGGAAGCTGCTGCAATTTCTTCAGGCATTGGGGAATTAATGATCTTCCTGTGTATTGTAGTAAACACACAGAACTTTAATTGCTAAAATTGAAGTTATATTTGGTGTTAGTAATAATAAGAGGATCAATGTTCTATATTAACATCTCGCAAATCTTGAGTTTTGCGGTTATTAACCTTTTTAGGACGGGCGTCCCATATACGCATTACCTAAGAACGTATCTTACAGCCGGACGTCCCATCCACGCATCACTAGAGATTGCATTCAGAGGACGGATGATGCATATACGCATTTTAAGCTCGAACATTTTTCTGAAGGCTACTAGATGGCATCTTATGTCCATTACTTTTGAAATGAACATAGTTTTAGGTTTCTGACCTTGAGTTTGATATATTCTGTCTGACTTTGGTATTTTACTCATCAACTGTTGCGAGGGTGGGGGAAGGGAAAGCAAACAGAGTGGGCTCTTTAAATGCGCGGCGAGCATGCTACTGAAATTTCGTGTGTCGATTTATATCAAATCCCTTTTTTATCTGTTTTCCCCCTCTACATATACGCTTTAGGGTATTAGTGGATCTTTACGTTTGCATTGCCTTCGTATATTCTGTTTCTTCTCTTTATTCGGAAAGCTCAATCCGTCTATTATGGCGAAAAGGGCATTATAGAGGAAGAATCCCTCGTATGGTAAGAACCATTATAACGCAGATGAGAGTATGATTTTTTTTAAAGAGTTAGAAAGGATACTTTTCTAAGATTAGAAAGGATACTTCTCCATGCTTCGAGATTACCACACTCAGTCTCATTTTAATTTGTTACTCTACTGTAATAGTCTTATGTTTGTTGTATTATTTAAACTACTTAATTTTTAACTTATGAGGATTGATCAATAAAAATTGGAATAATTTGATGGCGCTTCGAAATATTTTACAAGATAGGAAATTTAAGTATTTTTATGGAAAATAAAGGAAAAAAAATTAAGGGCTAATTTTGTCCTATATATAAAAGCTAGAAACTAAAATGATACCAAAAATTATGATACTAGAGTTAAACTTCTTTCGATTTTTTTTTATAAAATTAGGCTTAGCGATGCAAAACCTCCGTCCTGTACAGTGACTGCCTTCGATTCCCTTCCGTCCCGCACAAGAGTCTTAAACAAATGAGCGCCATCACGAAAAGGTTAAAGTACACTTTGACATATATTTGGTAAAAGACAAAAATAATATACCAAGAAATATTCATAAAAATTAATCCAAATAATATTTAAAGCATAATTAATAGTAATCAAATGGAAGTTAGCATGCTAATGTAAAATTTTAAAGTAAGCAACCTTATTATGATATAAGTTTTGAACAAAATTAGGAACTTGTGGGTGTTCCTCCTCAGGAAAATTTTTTGCTCATATTATTGATTCATGGCTACAATGCAAATATCTCTACTTACGTGATAATTGAAAGGCAGAAATCTCAGATAATTTAATTGGGTTTTTCAGTTTCTACAATCTGGATATATCTGCTGATTATTAAAGGATATGTCTCATAAAATTGGAGTTGTCTTAAATTGCATGCTTTTTCTTAGAGGTATGTTAACTGTTAATTCTACCAAAAGCAAAGTCTTACTTTAACAGATTTATCATAGATCATTGTAAAAGTATTTATTTCATGTAATGCTGTATTTTATAAGTTGTTCTCTAATATCCTATAGCTTTGAATAAGCTTTCCCTCACAGTAAGTCTTTGTGCCTAAGAAATTCTTGAGTTCTGGCTTTAAAAATACTTCTTTTCCACAAAACTAAGGGTTAATCTCAGATTTTAATGGCATTGATGGTCATAAATGCAAATGATTATTTTTAAATATTATTCATATGAAATGTCTTCTAGAGCTGCACATTGCTGCAAATTTCTCATGCTTTTATAGTGCAGTTCTTTAATGGTCTCTGTGTCATCTATTAAGAAGAAAAACTGAAAATAGATTTTTTTGTCAGTTGTATCTGTTTTTATAAGCAAGAAATTTCACATGTGTACTGACTAAAAATCTGTTTTCATATTTAAGTAATTGTGATTGGAAGATTGTAGTTGAAACTGACTGTCTTTGAGTAATCTGAGTAACACTTGTATGGAAAGCCTTGTAATGTTTCATGTTTTGTAACCCATTTCTGTTATGATAAATTTATTTTCAGCTTCTCTTCTTGCCCTCACTTATGAAGAAAAAATGGAAATAGATTCTCGATCGATATATGTTGGGAATGTAAGTCATTTTGTATATTATTCTATAAAAATATTGCATACTCTACTAAGCAGCACTGTAGACCCTTGTATGAAGTCCCGTTCACAAGTGTAGAATGCTATTATAGCTCATTCACTTCACAAACGAACATTAACTTCTTGTCGAATTGGAATTAGAATGCTCCTACCTCTGTGGAGCAGGGCAAATCAGGACTTCTCATAATGCATTGCACAATTGATTCACTAGTAAACTATATACCCAATATGCAGTTGACCGCTTTCTGGAATGTCAGTGAAACTATCATATTGATGAGTATCTGGAGATAGAGTAGCATTCAAAAAAGAATTAAATGATACTGTATACATGATACAGAAGTATTTAATGAGGTATTTACAAGTTTAGCTGCATCTAGGTATATAAGAAGTACCCTTCAAATCATAATATCAAATATCATCTGCATCAAATAATCAAATATCATCTGCAGTGCGACAAATTAAGGATAAAATTGCTCTGAGTATGCCAATTTTAGTGACATTGATGTTGCATTTATAAAAGGAGCACATAAATTTCTTTCAGCAAATCCACCATCTGTGATGAAGTAGTAATCTTTTCTTTGAGCAATGCATACTAAATTATGTACCAAAAAAAAAAAAAAAAAAAAAAAAACTACAGAAAGAGAAACTAAATGTTTTTTAAAGTAAACTTTTAATTAAAATTCAAAATAATTAGTGAATTAGAGGGAAAATAATAATCATCTATTTAATAGGAACAGAAGAAATACTGCTCTCTAAAGTTCCAGTTATGTCAAAAAAAACATGTAGGTGCCCTTGATTAATTTATGACGATAAATAGCTTGTACTTTTGACCGTGCAATTCGACTGTTAGGTTCAGGTTTATATTTTTGATGGTTAAAATCTTTATTGATTATATTATGATAAATTTTTTAGAGAGAATTAATTAATCTCTTCCCTATTTAAGTATATGGTAATTTTTTTCCCTTTTAATTCACCATGGATTTTAAATAAAAACTTTACTTTGATTGTTTAGTCTCAGTGACATCTCTTCAATCAAATTATTCAATTAAAAAATCATATCTGAGCAATAAATAATGACTCTTTTCCTCTCAATAATTCTGTTATGCAAAGTGGTTGGAAAAAATCCAAGTTAAAAAAAATGCACTAGTAATGTTAATATTTCATTTAGATGACTTTTTCCTATTCTATCCAGTGGTGCAGACAATAAAATTCAGAAATTTTTAGTTTGTTTTCTTAAATGAAGATGTGTGGAAAATTGCTTCAAGTTTAGAAAATGTAAGAGAACTTAGAAAAATGTTGTCATCCACAATGAGTGTGTTTGCAAAATTTGAGCTCCATAACTTATAAGGAATTGGCCTAAAAATCGATGATAAAGTTTTGGTCGTGGTGACAAATACCACAAGCGAATTAAGCAAAAGTTTATAAAATGCTGGTAGTTTTAAGATAAACTAGGAAGTTACCTAAGTATATGTTTTTTGTTTTTTAATCCTTTTTTTTTTTCTTTTTTTTGTGAAAGGACGTGAAGCGATTCTTTTATAACATTAAAAATTTTAATTCTTTGTAGTGGATACATTTTTGCATGTTAGAATTCTAAGGCCCATAAAAAAAGAAAACAATGTACCACAATAAAATTAAGAAAATCAATCTTTAAAGTGAAATGCTGATAAAAATGTTTGTAAAGTTAATGAAATGGAAACTATAGAAAATGACATGGTAGATTTCATTGAAAATTATATTAAAAAGTAACCCCTCCTTTTTTGGTGGGAGTGACAATTACGAAAAACAAAATGAATTATGAAATGTAAAACCTATATTTTAAAAAAAGAGGGAGAATGTTTATAAAATGTCAGAAGATTTTTACAGTAAACTAATCTGTCAGTAATTCTTTAATAAATCAATAAGTAAATAAAATTTATCTTTAGAGAAATCTTTACAGTAGCACCAAAAATAATGTCATGTAATGAGATTAAAGCTTTGAAGCTGATGCCTCCATGTGATGCTTAAGAACCAATTTTTACTTCCTTCTGCTTTATAGTATAATTTTTTAAACTGTAAAAAAAAAAAAAAAAAATTGTCCCCCCAAAGTTTCAGTAAATGTCTTTTTATCATTTTCTCTTTTTTTTTTATAGAGCGCGAAGTGGTATAATCTGCAAAAATTTCAAATTTCGAAGCTTTGTAACTGATACTTTTTTAGGTGTGAAATTTTAGAATAATAGACATAAAAAATTCTAAAAATTGAAGCAGTTTTCAAAAATTTTCCCTGAAATAAAAAAAATTGTTAAAAATTTCATTTAACCCTTCAGCGATTGCAAGATTAAAGCCTCGTTCACATGCAACACTCCTTCGCACAGCTGCTGTTAGAAAAAGGAGACATGAAACAGTTTCGTCTTTAGGACCCGTTCAGAAGCACGTCTTCTCCTTCTTGCGCCTAAAGGACTCTGGAACAATACATATCCGAATTGGCAGGATTTATAATATGTTTACACAATTTAACGTGTGGTTTACTGTTGTAATTTTGATATCTGTACTTTCGCAATGGTACCTGGAACTTTCTGATAAGGTTCCTGAAAAATATATGCTTTTCATTATTATAGATTTTATAAGCGGTATTTAGTCACTCTTTGGTGCTGGCTATGGTAAAGATGGTCATGATTTTAAACGACTTACCGATAGGTATAGAACTCAAATGTGGTACATACATGGCTTGTGGATGTGGGTAACGCTTTTAGATTTTTTTCAAACTTTAAAGTTGAAACGATGTTTTTGAAAATATTACAAAACTGCGAATCTCAGTATATTATAGTTTGACCATAAACACACTGTGAGGAAAAAAAAATTAATGAAATTTTTAGCATAACTTTTAACAAAATATTTGGGCAGAATTTGAAAATCGTTCATATTTTAGACTTTTTGACGACTCATTAATTTTAAAAAATTTCCATATCGAAAAAATTATATTGGTTACAAACTTCCGACATTTTCACAGCTTAAAATAAACTTTGCGCCATTAAAAAAAATGATTAAATTAATTGGATGATTTTTTTTTTTACTTTTTAAAAGATATGCAATAGAAGCAGAATGGGAAGAGAAATAGTGATTTTCTGGGGCATGAATTCCGAAACATGGTTTCAAAATAATAATCTCATTATACCAAACTATTTTATGACATTATTATACTAATAAGTTGTTATTGTTGCCAGTGATTAGTTCAGGTGAGATTGCAGAGAGTTCTGCTTAACTTTCTCTTAAGATGATTTTGTATGCCGTTGTGTTTAACGTCTTTATAGGCTTGAAGATTATATGATTACAACATGTGATATTAACACGTGTACAATACTTTTGTGCAAAATCCAGAAATTAGAGGTGTTTTCTGGGTTTTTTGGGATAAAATAAATTAATTAGCTATCATCGGATGTGAGTTGCCAAGGACATGCACTACGAACTATTATCAATTATTACACCTGTATGCCGCAACAAGTTATAAATAATAATGTATTACAATTGTTTGAACGTTTTTTCAAAACAAATAGTAAAGAAAAATTGCTTGCCTTTTATGATTCTTGGCAATTTTTCTGGCCAATAAGGTTTAAAAAAGGTTCGTAATTATGTTTATATTTACAATTAATAGCACTAGTCAGAGTAAACAAAAAATCAGCGTTTATTACAAAATTTTCAAGACAGTTCGATGTTTTACCGAACCACCATCCTCGCTCAAAACCGCTTACGATGATTTTTGTTGTTGATTCTGAATAGGATTTATTAGGCATGTATTGTGTCTTAATAAATAGCACTGGTTGATTTATGTATATATATTGTGCGGTGTGATATTGAAATCAGAAATAAAATTTAAGATTTGAAATGATTAAATGTCTATTTAGGAGTTTGGATTCTTCAAACTGAGAAACCTTTTGCATTTTTCGCTAATCTTTTACTAAATTCTAAAACTTTACAAGTATGACTACTGTTATTATTTTATGCTATGTTAAATTATAACTTATAGAAAAAAAATGGGTTGAAAAGACTGATAAGAAAATTATTTGAACTGAAAGTACTCGATCAGATTGTTTAAAAGATTTAGATAAAATTATTTTATTTTTTCTCAGAAATTAATCATAATTGCAAATCCTTCTGAGTTATTAGAACACTCGATAATAAACATAGAAAAACCGGGGGGGGAGACATTGAAATTGTAGAAGAAGAAAAGCATTTTTGTACAATTGAATTTAAAAAAATACAGCTAACACTTTTTTCAGCTTAAATTTTTTTGTTCACAAAACATTTAACAATATTCATAAAAAGTAGATGAAAATGCTTAAATTTAAAAAAAAAAAAAAAAAAAAAAATTCAAAAGGTACCGAGTCCCTTGTCACGTTGAAGCCAATATGCACTTGTCTTAACTTCAGTTTTAATTTTAACGATATTTCTCGACTACCTAGCATCAGATAACCTTGTCTGTATTTGTCTATAATTTCTGCATCTTGTACAGTTCTATCTAATTTTTGGGGGGATGCTATCTCATCCCTAGATGTCTATCAGCACGATTGTTTCGCTGACAGTCCAGCAAGCAGTAACTAAAATTAAGTTAAACCGCGTAATCCGCGCAGTATAGTACGGGACAATCTCTCGCATTTGCCCTGCTCCCGAGAGGTAAGGAACATTCAACCAAGTTCTACCTCCAATTCGGTGAGGCACTTACACGTTGGAAGAACCGGTTTTCGCTACCAGTCGAATCTGCTCTTGTGAACGGGGCTTAAGCATTTCTTTCTTTCCGAATATGTACAGTATCTGGCAATCATAAATTTATAATGGGAGCTTGTTCATTTGCGACCATTGTGATGCGTAACTGAAATGTGAGCTCATTCATAACCATTAAAAGAATTTTCTCTCTGCTCTATCCAGTAATGCAAACAACAGTACAGTTATTCACAGGCAATTTTAATTCAGCACCTTATCAGGAAAGAGTTAAAAAATAGAAAACAAACTTTTAACCATGGCAGCAAACACCATGAGTGAGCTAAAATAAAAGCTTATAATAATAAAATATAGCTTTTTCAAGAACCATTGCAAGAGTTCTAGTATTGCCTATAACAAAAGTAAACAGTGTTAAAAAGCACTAATTGCATTAGAAATCTGTCATTGTGACATTGATTGTGACATCATTAGGGAAGGAAGGGGGCCTTCTGAATGGGTCCTAAAGAGAAAATTCCTTCCTGTTGAAAACTCTTGGAGGAAACTCCCATCTTGCTTATGGCAGCAATGCATGTGAACAGGGCTTATTTGAATGTACAGCAGCTTCATATGTTTTTTTAAAGGGATGGTAGTACAGCTTGATAATGTTTAAAGGGGTTGAAAAAATTTATGATATCATATATTTTCTGCTTTTTTATGTAGAAATAGTTGAATACAAAATCAGTGGGGGTGTTGTGCAGTGTCACAACTGCCAACACTTCCACCACCATTCTGATTTTTGTAAATTTAAACCGCACTGCATTAAATGCTTTAGGTCCCCACAAAACATCCAATTGTATCACTAAGAAACTACCTGAAGTCAAGTGCTGTAACTTTCTCGAAACGGGACATACAGCCAATTATAGGGGTTGTACAAAGTTCCCCAAACTGGTAAAGAATAGTAAATCGGATAATTCTAGTAATAACAGTAATGAAGTGAAAAATAGTGTGAAATCTACACAGGTTACACCTGGAATAACTTATGCAAATATCACTCAAAGGAGGAAACACTGCTAAGAGCAACACACAAGATCCCAAGATCAATGGTAAGAAAACAGGCAAAAAGCAGGAAAAATTCAGAGACTTTGGAATTAAATGCTTTCTCAGACATATTCAAATTAGTTAAAGAAATATATAATATGTTCAAAGGCTTCTTCACCAGTAATTTTCAAAAAATTTCAGCTTAAAAATGCCCAAAATTCAGTCTGCAGATAGTACTATTGACAAAATGTTTATTTTATTTAACCTGTTTGAGGAAATTTTCATGAGCAACACTAATTAATAGTGTCAAATATGTAAAGCTTATAAAATCTTGTATATATTTATATATAATATGAAAAAAAGTTATGCACCCTTATCTGTATCATATAATTTAATGCTTACATGTTCTCAGATGTACTGCTTACTCTTATATATTTGTTATGCTGCATCTAGTTCTTATTTACCTGTGTTTGTAAATATTTCCCTTAAAATTGATATTTAAGTCACCATAAGTTTTGCACTCTTGCTTTGTAATATTGTATTTACTTCATCTTACTACAACTTATTAGTTACCAGGTAGAATATTTTCCAGTTGCAAAACTCGCAATCTTTAAGCACTTATTTTCAAAATTTTATTCAATTTCTAAATCTTTAAGTAAGCACTTATTTTCAAAATTTTATTTAAATTCTAAATCTTTAAGCACTTATTTTCAAAATTTTATTCAAATTCTAAATCTTTAAATTCTTTAATAATTAAAAAAGATAATTTTATATAAAATGGCTTTTTGGAGGCAATTCTGTTGGGGTTTTATTTTAGCATGAGTTTTACAGTACTATGTGCAAAAAATGCGTTATAGAATTCTTCTGTAAATATGTGCATAGCTGCATTTTCAAAAACTTTGTATTCTATTTTATAGGTGGATTATGGTGCTACAGCTGAAGAACTTGAGCAGCATTTTCATGGCTGTGGTTCTATCAACAGAGTTACTATACAATGTGATAAATATACTGGCCATCCTAAGGGGTAAATTTCATAGTCAGTCTCTATTACAGTCAAAAGTCGTTAATCCGGACTCGTCGGGACTTCGGCGATTCCGGATTATCGATTTTTCCGGATTATAGATCATCAGTTTAAATCTGGTAAGATGGCATGCAAAAATTACAAAATTAAAAATATGAAACCGTAATTTATGAAATAAAGAACAATTATGATCTAAAGGGTATCAAAATTTACAAAAAGAAAAAGCTTAATATTTATTTGTTTACTTTATTAAACATTTCTTCAATGTTTAAGTTGCTTCGTTTTCATGTGATAATACTTTCTCTTTAATTCTATTAAACAGACATAATTTCTTGTTTAGTTACAAAGTTCCGCTGTTCAAGTCCTATAATTGCTGTGTTGAGAATACCGACTAATTTGTCAATCGAAATTTTTTCGTTTTCAATAACCTCTGGGTCACTTTCTTCACTATCGAAGCGAATTATAATGACGAGGAACTTGATTTAAATCATATCAAAGACAGAGTACATCGAGACGAAATACTACACATTTAGTAAGAATTATAAGCCAAATAAAATAAAAACATCTGCTCCTGAAGATAAGGATAGTGTGACAGATCAACTTCCAATCCGCCAGCGTGAAATTCATAAACAGATTTCGGATTTCAAAACATACTTTCGCTTTGTAGATAAAATTACATATTAGTAAATATATATCGGAAAATTCTATTTGACATAATCTTTCTATCTATCATAATATAAATGACTTTCGCCCCCACCTTGCCAAGAGCAGCGTGAAATTGATAACAGATTTCGGATTCAAAACATACTTTCGCTTTGTAGTATTAAATATATTCGGAAATTCTATTTGACATAATCGAAAGTTCAAGCTTACTTTTATAAATTGCTCTAACAGTCTGCAAAAATAATAAGCCGGATCCAATCAAAGATTAAGAACAACGCAATCTGCAACATTAACTGAATTAGATAATTTATCTTAGCTATAACTCCGTTAACATAAACGCAGCGCACAACATATTCGCACCGTGTCTTACGCCTACGTAAAGGCCTGTGCGCAGCTACGCGACGCATGCGCAGAAAGTTTGTAGCTTTGAGGTCCGGATTATGGTGTCCGAATTAACGCTTTGACGATAAATAATGAATAATCTGTAGTATGTATGTACAGTGCCCAAAAAGGGGGTACAGTTCAATGTTCCTGTTTCTACTCGTCGATTTACGAAATTCAAACGCATTTTTCATGTCTGAAAGTGTGATTTAGAATAGTATTAGATTTATAGATAATTGTTCTAATATAGTATTTAACACAAATTGTACTATTCTAATGAATGCCAATTTTTATATTCGGTTCTGCGCTCAATTATGCCTAATACTAATTTATAAATTAGAGTAATCTAAAAATGTAACTGGCTCTTTTTTTTTTTTTTTTTTTTTTTTCAGTTTGCGCCAGGAACATTCTTTAAAATAGATTATGGCTCGTGCATTAAAAATTAGTATGAAAAGTGCGTCTGACGATTCCTTTTTTTATTCCTATATAGATATTAGTATGAAAAAAATATCGTTGATTGTACGTTCTAAATCATTTAATGAATTAATAGTTAATCTTACTGTTCACCAATATTTGTTGTTCAGTATCCCAGTCCAGGTACTGTTATTATTACATTAGCTTGCACATATCATGCTATGAAAATACTGTAAACAATTTTTGGGAGCCACCTCTGAAAGTGACCAGTATATCGGAGAATATCAATAAACATTGGTATTACATATTTGTCAGCTTTACCGAGTGTTTGGAAATTTTTACAAAAGCAGATCCAATTTTTATAGTCTTACATTGCAAAACTCATTTCCCTTTCCCTAAATGCTGCTTTTTTTTTTTTTTTTTTTTTTTTTTTTTAATAGAAGCCAAAGTTGTGCAATTTTGTACTAATTGTGTATTTTAAGTGTGTGTACTAGACAGGCATTTGGTTACCGATTCAATTTGCCCTCTTTATTTCATTAAAAATAAAGTCTTTGTTTTCCAAATATGAATTTTTTGTCTGTGCATCACTAAATATAGTAACTGATTAACCTTTTGATGATTTTAAGCCTGCGTTGTCTGCAAAAAATTTTTAGATGGTAATTTACAAATTTTATATGGACTTTGTAACAAATACAATAATATATAATAAAATATCAATAATATAATTAAAATATCGGTAACACAATAAAATTACATTTATCAGAAAAGTAACATTAAGATAATCACTTTAATTATCTTCTTCTGTCATGTTTTAAAATGTTTTTATCTTTTGTTTTGGTGACTTCTATGTACCTTGATTCAGAAATTTAAACAAGATAAGTAAGATAAAGCAGTTTCCAAATTACTCAGTAGCTGAAACAAAAAAAATTTACTGCAGATATATTAAATTTATTGTTATCTAATTTTCAATTTAATCAGCTATCTAATTCTTCATTTTCTATAATGAATTTTTTCAAAAATCGTTTGATTAATGTCGCAATGTTGGCAGATATGCTATTGCAGAGCCCTTTTATGAAATGACACCAATACAGAAAAGTACCGTAATTTCCGGAAGAAACGCCGCGGCGTTTACGTGTTTAAAACTTAAATTTTCAGCGGGTGCGGCATTTAGGTGCACTAAAAATAAAATATTTCCTATGATGGTCATTGTACATAGTTTGGATGACCTTGTCATTCATTGTGCATAGATTGGTGCTGTTTCCACACAAAAGACCACTCAGTTGCTTTTTGCGAACGTTATTTTGTTTACGTTCTTTCCCTTGAATGCACCTACATGCCTTATTCACCCTAAACGAGATCTCAGAAAAATAACATTCTTCCCCCTTTCAAATCAACATTCTCATCAGTTTGAATAGTCTCTCTCCTCTGCCATTCGAGATCTCAGAAAAATAACATTCTTCCCCCTTTCAAATCAACATTCTCATCAGTTTGAATAGTCTCTCTCCTCTGCCATTCGATGAATCTTCCAGGACCCATCCTCTTTCCACCCCTGCCTTTTCTGCAATTTTTTTCAAAGGCGGACACGACTTCACCTGCCTCCTGCCTCGCATATTTCCCCTTCAGCATGAATGGATTTTTCTTGGCATTCTGCCAAATACAGATCCCATCAGTTAGGGTACAAGTACTTGTTGGATAGTTTTTAATTAGGCAGCGGAAAATTTTTGAAAATGTCTCTAAACGGCACAGAAGCTATACATTTCTTACCTTTGATTTATTTTTGAGTTATGGTTTCATTTCATGCATTTTTCTTAACTGGTATGTCATATATCAGGACTTGGGTTGAGTTTTTGCATCTATACGGCCCACGATGATGATGTCAAGCGCAATTTAATCTATTGTGGCATTTCTGTGTAATTTTAATTTTTTCCCCGCCATTTTTCTCGAGTGCGGCGTTTACGCAATGCTGCCTTTCTTCCGTAAATTACGGTAATCTGAAACCATGGGTGGTTGTTTTAGAAAAAGTTTATCATATTCTTAACTAATACTTGAAATGCAGGATGTGATTCTCCTAATTTAAGACCTTGTTACATGTCATTGTGTGATCCAAATGCTGCAAACCGTGAGCTATAATTCAATTTATGGAAGTAGTTGTTGGGAGGGCCTGGTTTCAGAACTCAGCATGTGAGAGTGCTTTGGGTATCAAATTTTGGGATTAACATAAATTTTATCTTTGGTATTAAAAACATTATTTTAGAGTATTAACAAAATATTCTAAAAAATTGAGAAAATTGCAGTACGCAAATTAGTTTTTCAAGTTTTTAAAATCCGTTATTGTGTGTGAGTGAGTTGTTTCTTTTTTTTTTTTTTTTTTAAAGGATTTTCTGGTTATGTTAAAGTGGATAATTTTGTTATTTCAGCATTACTTGATTATTTTATTTGTTACTTATTTTTAGATTTGCATATATTGAATTTGCAGACAAAGATTCAGTGTCTACTTCAACTGCTTTAGACGAGTCCCTGTTTCGAGGACGGCAGATCAAGGTTAGTATATTAGATACTATTTGAAATGTTTGTGGAAGTTATCTGATTGATGCTATACCCGTAATCTTAAAACTTGGACGATGTTTCTTCCATTAGTATTTATAAGAAATTTACTGATTTCATCTTGACGTTCTTCAGAAATTTGATTACTGATGTGCTTGGAATTAATTTGGAAAGTCACTGGCAGGTATTTTATGTCTGAAAAAGAGAGAGACCTGTGTCTGATCGCTCTTGAAATCAACAGAGTTATTCAAAATCTGTGCTATTCTAAAAAGGTTGCTTTATTGCCTAATTTTAAATAGTTGAATAAAACAAAAACCAAGCAGCTTGCTGACTTAATCCCTTATTTGGTGATATTTTCCTGACACTTTGCAATGTTTAAAATGAATTTTGATCTTATCTGAAGATTTAGTTCCGTTTGAGAAATTCATGTTGTATTATTTTGATAACATTAGTTGAAATGATGATCACGATAAACGAAGTATCATTGCATTCTACGGGTTCGTGGATTTGGAATGATTGAAGACAACACTTGTTGAGCATAATTTATTTGCCAGTATTTCACATGAGAGTTCGAAAAACACGTTACAGTCATAAAAAAACTATGACCATCATGACTATGAAACAATCCGCCTTCAGGCTATAACGGTGAAGACAGCTTCACAGCAAAGTGCTAAACTACAGCTCCCAACCCGGTTAATTGGTCTCGAAGCTCAAGACTTTACTACTAAACTCAACATACTATAGATACACTCCATGATAAAACTCGATGCACTGCTACTTTGTGTACCGGCATGGCTTATATAGCTTTTGACCTGCCTTCAAGAACATTCTGGGGCAAATTGGTAAGAATTCGTTCTGGAGTGTTCTTGCTCTGTCTATGGCATATCTCCAATTTTATAGCTAAATGAGATATTTTGCGCCAAATCAGACAATCCTAAACCCGCGTTGTGGGAAAGCTATCTTACCGCAGCTGGGGATTTTGTAACAGTATTTTTCATGTTTTCGTATACATATATTCAAACTTTGGTATGTCAACAACAGTATCCAAATGACAGCATTAACCAGGATCACTTTAAACAGTGTTTGTTGTATTTATAAAATTAACAAAAGAAAAAACAGGCTGGTTTGGAGCAACAAAAACGCCGTGATTCATGGGTCGAGGCTTGGGAAAACTTCTGAAGTTTTGGTCAGCAAAAAAAAAAAAAAAAAAAAAATTCGCATCCTTTTTTTTTTTTTTTTTTCCCCCCCTGAGCTGTCATGCTGAAAAGGTTATAAACTGAAGGTGCTGAGTGTTATAAGCATGTGCAGACATTTTGCAAAGTAGCTCAGAAATAAATCGCATAATTAAAAAATTTATAAAAAAATTCATCCTAATAAAATGTATAATTTTAAACTTTATTAAAAATTCATGCTTAGGAATAAACTTGCTTTGTCAAATGAGATAAAGTAGTTATCAGTGATATTTTTAAGCTTCTAAGTTAATGCTATTTTTTTAAAGTTTTTCTCACTTAACGAATTATGGAGGTCAATAAAAGGGGTTAGTGAACCAGAGAGATAGTTTGGGTATTTTAACCAATTCATTTATTATTGGATATTTTAATGTATTTATTTAATTGCTTTAATCCCAGTGTAAAGATTGTGTTTGCAGGGTGATTTGTAATTCTTTCCTGTATTTTGAAAATTTATAATGGAATAACTATAACAAATACAGCAAAGAAATATGTATCAGTACATAAAAAGCACTAATTTCTATTCATTACTAGGCCGCAGCATTGCGTAAGAGTAGATTTAGTCACCATGAGCAATTTTTCTTTGTAATGCAAATGGGAGTAATTTCAGCTACTGATATGATCATTACAGGACTTTATTTTTCAACTAGGCATAGCTCCCTATATTTTCATGAAAATGCTTGTTATGAGCTTCATGGTAGGTGAATTTGGATGACTGTCTTCTAATACTGTGAATCCTATATGATTGTTTTTTTATGAAGTTATGTCAAGAAGTATATATTTATTCCTTCTTTGCCCTGTGATTTATCACAATAATAATAAGAATGCATATATGATAGTTATACTAGCATATATGCATTATTGGACAGAAAAAGGTAATGATGGTATCAGTTATGACATGCTAAAACGTTTAAAACCAGGCCAAAAAGAAGTATTTTGAGTGAAATTCGAAAGGTGGGGGAGTGTGTGTGGCAAGAACTTGAATTTGGGAATGATGTCTGCTTTATCTTTTGGGTTACACATATTGAACACTTGTAGGTACAAAGTTGTTATGTACAAAGTTAGGAGACATTTTTTGTTTAATGTACTTGTTAATATGCTATCAGTTTTTAAAATCCACCCCAAATTATGAATTACCTTTTGATCTTATATTCTTATTAACTGAACAGATGCAATTTTTGACAAATTGTGAACTTTCTAGAACTTCCATAATGCCACCAGATTATTCTGAAAATTACTTTAGAACCAGTCAAAATTGAAAATTATATTTGATAGTGAAAAAAGATTGTAGTGTTCAGTTTACATGTTTGATTATTTTTATTTGGTTCTTTAAGATGCACTTTCCTTTCCTTTTTTTTTTTTTTAAATGAATATGATAAGCAGGGTTGCCACGCTACCTGGAAAACCGGAAAAAGTCAGGGAATTTAAATATTTTAGTCAAAATCTGGGAATTTTATACGGCGATCCCCCCCTAAAAAAAGCGAGTTGTGCGCCAACGTTGGAAACGATCTCTTTATTGGCGAATTGTGTATCGTGTGAGCGTCGTTCGGGCAGCTGGCATACAGCCAATTTTTGCAGCTCCAATTAGATTGTCTTTTAGAAAGGCAAAGCAAGTTTTCAGTAACCTCGAGAATCGCATGCGCATGTGTAGTGCATGTTGAAATAAACAAAATACACATTCTCGTATAAAACAAAATCGGTTTAATACTAATATACGGTACCATGGAAGTTAGAATCAAAGAATATGTATTGTTAAGAAGAAAAATTTCTCTGCAACAGGAGCAGCTCCGTTCCAATGTAGAGAGAAACAGCTGCGCACGCGCGAAATATTTGTTGCCAAAGCTTGAAGTCGGTGACGAAGTTCGAAGGTCACGTTATCAAGAGTTCATAAAATGGTTTTGGTTTACTTAATTATGGCAAAGCACACTAGGACTGTTTGCCTAAGGGAAGTGATGCCTTCGTGAAGAATTTTCTAAGGGAAACTGGCTCGTATACACGTTTCACACGCGGAAACCCACGAAAACCCCATGCTGAATTTATTTAAAAATATCATTAAATATATTTCTTTATTTCTTTCTTTCGTTCAGTTGCAAAATGTCTGCCAAAAAAAAAAAGATTTTTTTAAATCCAGATTGGACAGATTCTAATCTCAATCTTCAGTGGAGAAAACAATTTCTATTATAGTTAAAATAGTAATCCTTTGGGTATTAATTATACATATAAGTCATATGTAATTGGAAAATTTTTGTGTTTTCAAGTAATACCATAATTAATTTACCTCTTAGCACAGCCAACATGCATTATGCGGATAGGCTGTAATTTTCTTAAAATACACCTAGAAAGCCTGGAAAAGTCAAGGAATTTCATTCTCCTGTTTGTGTGGCAACCCTGGATAAGTATGGCTGTTGCAAAATGCTTTTACTTACGGTATAATCAATAAATTGCTTATTTTTAGGCTATAATGTTAAAATGTCTGCAAAAGTAAATGATGGAGGAAAGAGCTAAGGACAATTTTTTTTTTTTTTTTTAAAGATTTTGTGTAGTATCTTTTGTTTTATTACTATTATATTTTGTTGAAAAAAATAGTTATTTAATTATTGTCTTGAATGGAATTTGGCCTACATAGAATTGTAATAAACTTTGTATTATTGAATACATAGTGTATGAGCAATATAAATGTGTTTCAGGTTATGCCTAAAAGAACTAACCGTCCAGGCATAAGTACAACTAACAGACCACCCAGAGGAAGGTTTAGAAGATCCTCCAGAGGTTCTTACTTTGGTGGTTATAGGCCTGTTAGAAGGTTCAGGTGAGCTATGAATTTTAAATTTTATGGGGGGGGGAGAAAAGATGCAGTAAAAATTTTTAAAAATGACTATTATCATGTAACTGCCTTTTCTCATTCATGTTGGTTTATTTTTAGTCATAACTTTACTTCATGGAAAATATTCCGATATTACATAAGGAATGCATAACTTTTGTGTTACTAATTTTCCCCAAATTCTACAAAAATTAAGGAGGTTCTTTAATGTGAATATATGTGTGAAGAGAGAGTTTGTGTTTTTATTCAAAGTAGAGATAATCAACATTAAAATTCAAAGTAGCATTTTAGGGCTTCCACACACCTGAAAAATATCAGGTTTTCCAAAAAATCAGAGAAAATTGAAATTTTTCTAAAAAAATTGGAGAAAATTGAAATTTTTTTCCAAAATTTCAAAAATGTATAGATAAATTCACTCAACTCCTCTTTTAAATAATACATAATAAATGAAAATTATTTCTATTAAAAGGGAAGTTAAAGTAGAATTACTGTAATCTTTGTTTTTCTTGCAGGAAGTATTTTACCTGCTATCTGATACAATTTTGTCAACCCATAGCTCTGTTCTCGGCCTGTTACTGAGCTGTTCTGTAGTTTAAATTGCCAGTCATTGCATTGTGTGGTTGTAAATTGCATTAAATAACTGTTTAAGGGCTATTTTTGATTTTAGTAATAAATAACTGTTTAAGCACCATTTTTAATCAAATGTAATTTTTAGTCAAAGTCACTTTTTTTAGTGCTTGATATTTCCTTTAAAAAACTGAGTGTTAGTGGTTTATAGATTCATATGTATATATTCATATATATATTTTATAGATTCATATGTATAATTCTATCCTTTGCTTTACTGTAATAAATAACATCATTCAAAATTGGGGAAAGTTTGAGAAACACTGAATTCATAGTATTTAAATTCTTTCTTTCAAAACGAGCATTGATGATCTCATGGTTAATGTCCAGGAGTTTCTAATTTGAAACCATCTGCAGTAATAGTTATAGTCCGACTGCAGTAAGAGTGTATTACCTGGATTTGTTCTTTAAATATTATATATTTATCATCAGTTTCAAATTATAACCTTCTAACCAAAAAAAAAGAGGCTAACAGCGCCAAATCAAGAAACCACAATGGTTATGTTACTATCGGAATATTGGCTCTCATATTTGAAGAATGGAATCATCTGAAACTAGGGCTCAAATGTCTTCATTTCAAAGCTGTTTAATGGTTTTAACTTGCTAATGTAACTTTTATTTGGGGGGGGGGACTGCTCAAGAAAAATATGTATAAAGAAATAATAAAAAATTAAGCATTAAATTTTATTTAAAAAACCATTAAATTATACTTATCATAAAAGCATTCAAAATATTGCTACTGGGTACTTTGAATAAAAGATCATTTATAATAATTAAAATTTTCTTTAATGTAATATTTCTTATGAATTTTAAACGAAAAGGGCACTTTCCTTCATATAAAAATTTCTTCCGTATTTTGTCTGCATGCACCCATGTTTTCCTTCATTGCCTTTTTGTATTTCATTAAAACAAATAGACATTTAAACTACAATTTAAACCATTGTTTATTCATATTCTAGATGTCATTTTATGTTTTAACATTTTGTTATATAAACCACTATTAATTATGTATAATTTTGTGAAAAGTGCAATAAATTAAAATAAGTAAAGAAGTTATTTATGATGTAAAATTGCTTTTTTTTTAACACTATACCCTTAAAAATATTTTTCACCAATAAATTTTATTTCTGAATAAAATAACATAAAAAATTTTTTACAAAAAATCTCAAATTCCAGCTAAATTTAAACCTAAAACTTCTGACTAGATCTATATACTCTAATCACAAGGTTATTGCTATTAGCTATGAAGAAGGGATTTAAGTAATACACATTTTACTTAGAATTTTAGCCTCGACTTTTCTCGCTTATTTTTAAGATATGTGAACTTCCTCTTTATGTACGTATTTACATTTAAGATCCTGTAATGCAGAATTGGGTGAAATTGTTGAGCCAGAATCTATTTCCTTAATTAGTATAAGCAATGAAAATTAAAATTTTGGTATTATTCCATATAGATTCTGATGTGAAATGCAGTTCTGCAACCTTGTTTCAGCAATGAAGTGTAAGTTCTCTTGTAAAATTGACTGCTGAATTTTTAATCAAAATTTAATTTTTTTTTTTTTTTTTTTTTTTTTTTTTTTTTTTTTTTCAGTTATGACTTTAAAGCATCTCTTTTATGACTTGATTTATGACTTTAAATGTAGTTATAAGAATAATTGGTGACTTGATTCTCAAAGGAAAAAGCTGTGTTCTGAACAAAATTTTGATGAAACTCTTGAAATATTTCCAGACAACAATATTGTCATCTTTTAAAGAAGCTTTATTTACATGTGTAAATGCTGTTTTTTCCCTTAGTCATTTTCATTATAATTTTTTTGATTAATTTCTTAATTTGTAGGGAATTTTATGAAAATGTAACTAGTATTTAATGGGTAAATATCTATATTAAATTTTGCTTAAAATGTATAAATGGTAGTATAATAATAGTTTATCTTCTCTGAACTTTCATCAGTATCAAATTTTCTGACATTTTAAAATTTACACTAGGCACGATAATTGTATTCTCCTAGTTACATTATTATCTCTATTTATTAACATTATTATCTCTATTCATTAATTATCTCTATTTTATGTTGAGACTTAAATTATAAAAGAAGTGTTTTCTATTTTCCCTCTATTTGCTCATCTGCATTATTTTGCTGTCAATTAAGAAGCATCATTAAGTTAAATTTTATCAGTTTCTGGTATGAAACAAGTTTTAGGCACTCACCCATTGATTAGCCTTATGTTCCTTATGTATGTATTGTTCCTGAGTTTAGTTCCATCATGTATATATAGATATTTAACTAAAATTTATTATTTCACATTTGTTTTTTGTCTCCATACTAATTCTCTCTTCTTGAATAATTTTGTTACAAATAGTAGTTTCTTACAAGATTAATTTAATTTGCAGATACTGAAATAAACATATAGTCAGTGTTCAAAACTTGAAACTATGCCAGTTTTATAACATGTACATTTAAATATTCCTGATTTTTCAAAAGGAAATGACAATATAAATTCCCCCCTTCCCATTGTTTTATTAATATTTATATGAAAAATCAGTAATTTTAAAGGTTATCTTTTTTACAGGAGACGGAGTTGGTTTCATCCTTATTGATTGAAGCTTTCCAAGGTTTTAAAAGTGGACAAAATTTTGTTTTTATTGTGAGTTCACAGCTATGTTTTTAAATGTATTAAATAAATATTGTAATTATTTTTTTTACCAATATTTATGGCATTTTATATTTAAATTTCTGTCAGAAAAATAAATTTAATTTTCCCCCTCCCATTAAAATGGTTCATACATTCAAAGAAAGTGTGTCTTTTGGTATTAAATATTGCTTATTTACTATCAGATTAGTGTTAGATCATGTAAATGTAGGAGACATCCACTTATGCCCTTTTCAGAACAGAAAATTCCAAGGATGCAGCACTCTGCTCTCCATACAAATTGTTTAGTGAAAATCAGTGTAAATTAATTCTTGGTTTCGTATTTGATAATTATTAAATTATTGTTTAAAAATTTTTTAACATGTACTTACTTACTTGTGGTAACAATGATGGCATAGGGTCAGTATCAGTAGTGTGCAGTATTCTATGCATCTGAAGTATAAACGATATAAAAATATACCTCGAAATAAATACCTTTGTGGGTGCGGTTATCGAATGCGGCAGTTGTAATTTTTCCCGATGGCTTACAGTAACGGTGTAGTAGTGTGTAAGGATGTTCGCTATTATTTCTTCTCTCTGCGACTGGAAGGTGAGGGTCGTGGTAAAGTTTTTGAACACACAGAAGGTAGCACTGTTTAAAATTTATCATCAGTTCTATTTAGTGTGTGGACCATATGTGATGAGCAAACAGGAGGTTTATTGTTAGTGTCCGGATTTTTTCAAAGGTAGGCAAAATGTTCATGACAAATGGCACTGTGTTCAGCCATACCTTAACAGAGATGGCCTTGTGGAACAAGTGCAGCAATGCATTCTGCACTGTGGTGCATGAAATCATCACAAACCTGTGTTCCAGAAAACTGTGCACCAGTTGGGGGCCAAAGAACCTTACACCCAAACAACAAGCAAAATGAATGGGAACAGCATTGACTTTTCTACAGCGATACCACAATGAAGGCGACAAGTACTTCAACAGGATTGTTAGTGATGAGATGTGGGTTGCTCATTTCACCTCAGAAATCAACGATGCATTGGTGTCACATTGGATCTCAGTGCCAGACCAAATTCGAAGAAACTGTATCCATGCAGAAATTGATTTGCATGATTTTCTGGGACAGAAAAGGCATATTTTGCTCGTTGACTTCTTGCCAACAGATGCTATGGTGAATGCTGAACTTTACTGCTCAACACTAGAGAACTTGTGAGCAGCCATTCAGAATAGAAGACATGGGATGCTTAGTGCTGATGTTGTGTTTACCTGCATACAGCAAATAAAAAAAAAAAAAAAAAAAACCTGCTGAGGAAGTTTCGCTGGGAGGTGTTTGACCGTTCGTCTTATAGTCACAGTCTTGCTCCCACCAACTTCCACTGGTTCTTGCACCTGAAGAAATTCCTGTCTGGACATCACTGTCTGATAAACAAAAACGTGCAGACAACTATCACATGCTGGCTCGATTTCCAAGTGGCAGACTGTGACACTGGACCAGAAAACTTGTCCCATGATATGGCAAGTGTTATAATTTTGTTGGTTATGTTAAGAAGTATTTGTAATATTGCTATATCTTTTACAATACATCTTTCCAGGTGATTTATTTTATTTTATGGTCCTTGGGAACATACTTTCCAGATGACCATTGTAGAAATATGTATAGTGGTAATTTGCATTGGAGGAAGAGCGGAAGCTTAGCTTGGATTTGATGAAATAATCAAATGATTTTAGACTAATTAGGCTGCCTTATATCCCTCATGTTAGTTTGTGTATTAAAAACTACTATCATGTTTTATGCGAAACTTCTTGTGTAAGTTCATGTAATATAACTTTTCATATATCGCTTTACAGTTTCTCCATATTACAAACATCTCGCCTCGCTTGTTATTTTCTTAAAAGTGCTCTGTCTTTCTAAGTACTACGCTAGTTTTGATCAACTGAAGATCTTTTTTGGGAATAACTTTTCTTGAACTTAATGAATTAATTCTTGAAAACCAAACTTTGTACACAAAAGCATTAAAGAAGACAGGTTTAGCTGTTGAAGGATTTCACATCCGACAAGAAATTATTTCAACTGAGTAACAAATAAAAATTGCAACTTTGACACAGTTCTGTTTTGAGCTGAAGGGTTTCTGTAATGTACACTAGTGTGCAAAATTAAGAGAAATTTCAAATTATGTCCTTTTTTATGAAAAATATTGAACTAAAGGTGCTAATTATGCCACCAAAGAGTTATGCAAACATTCAGAATACAAGTGTGCTTAATGTGTGGGTCTGTGATTGTGGAGGGGATATAAGGGTTTTTGGTTATTTGTGTGCTCTTACTCCTTCACAATATTTGCTGTGTTTCTCACAAAAGTTGAGTAAATTTTATAAGGTGTCAGGTAAAATGAGAGCCATGAACATATGGATGACGGAATGAGAAAAGAATTGTTGATAAGTTGGAGGTAGGCTGATCACAAGCACCGTGTGGTGACAAAGCTCAATGTAATGCATGATGTCATCTGCAATTAATGTAAATGGTTTCAGGATACTCAATACGTTTCAAGAAAACATGCTCGACAAAGATCCGCAATGATAATGAGAGTCATTATTTCTTAGTATTAACACATCTTGGGTGCAAAGCGACTAAAGTTGTTTTGTACAGATTGGTAATTGAACGTGAATCGATGAGCTTTTGTAATGTTTTTACAACGCGGTCGAGTACTCATGAGCACTAGGTTGACACCTGCAGTTTTGAAAGTTAAAACGTGCTTGCAAAAATGCATTCCTATGGATGTGCTTTGCTGACACTGTTATGCTATGATGAACGTAGCATTCAACACCGGAGCTTTCAGCTGTGCATTGATATAAATCTGGGAAGTTGAGCAGCAGACACACTCTACAGCTGACAATTTTGCCAAGTGAACGCTGCTCGTAGGTTGTTCATAAAAGTACGTCCTCATAATTGAACTTCATTGCAAGGAGCATCAATTTTGTATGTTATGGAAGGCCTTTGGCTTTAATAATAATGAAGACCAGACTAATGGACAGGCTTTCGAAAGTCATACTTTGTTCAAGTTTATAAGCCAGTTGTGTAATGGTTTGGACAGGCATTATGCTGGAGGGCCACGTACTCTTGCATTTGTTGACTGCCATGAAGTATAAAGAACAGATCTTAAGTCATGTGTTCGATTTTTCAAGAGCACAGTTGGACCTGGGTTCCTGTTAATGAATGACTGCTCATGCACACAAGGCTGAGCTGGTTGACGATTGCCTGGGAATTGAAGATATTGCCGCATAGATTAGCCAACCATGTCTCTAAATGAACCGAATAGAACATACCTGATGCCTGGGATGATCTTAGGAGATAAATTTCGTATCGCCATCTCTCTTCGAGAACCATCCTGGAGTTGGAAACTGCCTTGCTGCAGGAGTGCGACTGCTACAAGGACTCCTCATCTGCCTCCTATCCAGCATGCCGTCAGACTGCACAACCTGTTTACCTGTGAGAGTGGATCGTACCCCATATTACAGTTATTTTCAGTTCGATATCACAATGTGAGTTATGGACAGCTTCACACTATAAGCTTTACTGATAATCACATGTACATAAAATGACTTTTGAATGGTGCATCTTCCTCTGTTATAAATGTATATTCATACCAAATTTCATTAAAATCTGTCCATTAGGTTGTCAGAAATTCAATATGATGTGGAAATTTTTAAAATTTTACACTTTATTATATTAAGTTCTTCAAGCAATTATAAGAATAGAATTCAAAAACTATAGCAGTGTCAGATTACCACAGGAGACATTATTTTTAGTATTTAAACACTTGGGAAAATATGTGAAATCTAAAATCCTGGCTTACCTTCATTACCAAACAAAGAAACAGTATTTTTCTTAGATACTGTTGTTATATTATTTATTACTTGCTCAGTCAATTTCAGTTTAGCTACAGTCTTTAAATAAAGAACAGAAAAAATAAGAAGCTTAGCTTGCAGATTATTGAGAAGCAAATTAAAATCAATATAACATTTTCTAAAAGCTTTAATTCAAAATTACATGGTTCCACTTCTTTTGCACTATTGAAATCAATTTAAAAATTACTTTATTTATTAAATAAAAATTGAAAATAAGTCTAAGGAATAAAAATTTCATATAAATAATTTAACTGTTAAAAATTTAAATACTTGTTTATATAGTCTAAATTCATAGAACTAATCACATGAAAAAAGAACTATAATTGAGTAACTTTGAAGCTGAGAACTGGTCAGAGAAAATGAGAACTTACTTCCCAAAGCTATCACATTATGGTCTTTTTTGAAGCAGTAATAAAAATTTATTCTTTTTTAAATGCGAACAATTGTCATCATAGTGACATAGTTAATTGATAAAATAATATCATGCTGTATCAATATATAGTGTGTATGTGATAATTCCAAATATTCACATTGTTATGTGTATTTTTCATAGTTCACATATTCGCAACAGTTGCTATTATAACATATAGCATCTTTTTCTTTTAATTACAGGTAAAAAAATTCAAATGTGTTTAATTTGTTTTGCCAGTATTTCAAAAAGTACCAAATTTGAAGTATGAAAATAATGTAGTTCATTAAAAGAAAGTGCCTTGTTTTAGTATTTAACAAAAAAAAAAGGGGGGGGATGTCGGCATGTCAACATCAGTAAATGAAGAGAAAAATTTTAAAGATCTGGATTGGTTCGTATAGGAGAAAGAAAGGCAAGAAAAAAGAACGTAAATAACAACAAAAACTATACATATATAAAAAAAGAATTTTGAAAGTGTTTTGTGCAGGAACATCAAAATGAAGAAAATTTAGGTTCAGCAGCATATGACTGAAAGAAAAGAAGAAAACAGTGACTGAAGATTCTCCAAAATTGTAATATATCTATGCAGCCAATTTATTTAATTTCCATGTTGCAAGATTTCACTATTAAAACAAACTACTATCAAGCATATGTTTAGTAGACATTATAGAAACTGATAGAAAAATTGCAATA